GGTTCTCCAATAATAGAGATGGCTATGGCAATCTGTCATTCTCGCAGGAATCTTCTTCATGCTCCCTTCCATGCAAGCATTGCTCCCATCGTTCCCTGCCAACAGCCAGCCATTATGCAACAGCCGTCCTGCACTGACCCGCGCTCGACTATGTATCTGTATGAAACAGCACGCTGCCCGCAACAAAAATGGAAACTGCCGTGGAAACTGCCGGTGCACCCGATAAACAAAATTGTGCGACTGCGACTGCTGCCGCTGCTACTCCTGCTTGTGCCACAACTACTTCTACGCCTGCTGATCCTCCTCCTCTGCCTGCAACGACGAGTACTGCTACTACTGTCATTCTACGACGGCGACTACTATTTCTATACTACATGCAGTATAACTACGGTTATTACTACGACTATAGTAGAGTACAGTATTTTTATTACATTGCATGGGTAATGAGAGGTACTCAGGCTCCTGTACAGTGCTCGGTGAGCAAACATTTCAATGGAACATCGAGTGGGAAAGAACATGTGCAACGAAACAGAAGCCGCCTTGGGATTGTTGGAGCTATACGGGGACCTGGAGTAATTTCTATTGCATTCTCCATGTAAGGTTCTGAGATGAGTACCTCCCAACTCACAAACATACTCTTCCCCAACATGCGCCACCGAGCAGCCAAACTCAGCCCAGCCGAGACATCAAGCTCTGCGTGTCGCTTGCGAGGTTCTGCCTGCAACAGTGCCAAAGTGTCGCTTGCAACGTTGGGGCTAAGTATTCAACACCATGACCCTAAACCCTAAACTAAACCCAACAACATGTGCTGCATGAAGTCTCCAAGATGCATGTTCTGGCGCAAGATACGGCTCATGCGCTTCTTGATCTGCTTGTCCATATGTTCGATGCTTCCAAGCTCCTCTTGTCTGGCTTTCTGCAGGTTTGGGAGGCAGTTTGTGGGATGATGAGTTCAGGATGTAATGTGTTTCAAGTGTTTGGGTCAACCCTCTCTCCGCGCAGATGAAGTCGAAGATCTTGCGCTTGTCCTCTGCGCTGGAGGCGTGGCCTGTCAAAGCATGTATTCATATATATATAATATAGAAATACATACATACATACATACATACATACATACTTACATACATACATACATACATACATACATGAAAAAAAGTATGTATTCAGATATTTTGTATACATATACATATATATATGTGTGTGTATGTATATACATAAATATATGTACATATAAAGATATTTTTCTATTTCATTTTGCATTTGATTCTCCATTATAGGCTAGGGATATAACTTGGGCAATTCTACACTAAACCCTAATATGTCCGAGGGGCAATTGGCGACCTGCAGCGTCTCCAGCTTCCGACCGATCTCCAAGGTGATATCGGGCGACGTGCCCTGCTCGCCCAGCACGCCTAGGTCCGTCCCGAAGACCAGGTCCAAGTTGAGCTGGCTCGATAAGAGGAACTCGAAGAGGCACCAAACACCTGGCAAAGCTCGCAAAACACTCAGAAAAATCTCACACAATGGCGCCGGCAGACAAGAGGGGGGGTGTTTCAGTATGTTGTGCAACACTGCCATTACAATTCAAGGCGCGGGTGAGTGGCTGGACT